TTTTAAGTAAAAATGTCATTTGGAAAAAAGTTCATTTTTTCACAAAAAAGGGTACTTTTTAAGTATAAAATTACTCGTGTGCCCTTTCTCCTGTATGACTTTTCTTCCTTCTTTTGTTGTGCCTTTTCCTTTTTTTATCATGGTTTATCATGCTTTTTTTTCATCTTTTTCACTATTCTACCGCAAAAGAAAGCAACGAATAAAGCATCATACATTGCAAGGACAATCTACTCCATCTTCGTCCCAAACAAGTATAGTGTTTTCAGTAGAGAACAATTTTGCAATATTGAGGAACCCCAAGACAAGTGTGGAAGATCCTTGTTTTGTTGTTGGTTTCTATGGCAGAGATGAATAGTGACAAAACCCTTCGACAAATTGCAGAGGCATTCAAGGACCTCGCAACGGTTGCCTCTAATTTGCTGAGCACATAGTTTGACAAATGAAATTCACAAACGCCAATTCCAGGGACCTTAACCCCGGAATTCCACTTCGAGTATTCCCGACTCGAAGGCAGCAATGGGTCAAATTTTAGCTTTTGACTTATCCTTCTTTCAAAAGCTAGAAATTTGAACTTTTTTTAAAAGTAAGATTTCTCCTTTTTGTGAGCTTCTGCTTTTGTTGAAAACTCACATACAAACATATTTTTCTTTCTCTCTAAAAGCACCTGTTTTTCTAAAAAAATAGCTTCTAAAGGAGGAGAAGCTCATCCAAACAACCACTAAATGATTACACGAAGAGACACAGACACATGTGTTTGTGTGTAAGAGAGGGGAATGAAAGAAGCTTATTTTGATTATTCAATCTTATATAATGACTAAAAATTAATCATACCTAAATTTATTTTTTTCCATTCATGCAAGATTAGATAGTTAATGAAAAAAATGTTTTCCCTTTTAAAGAAAGTAATTTTAGTTAAAATTATTATTATATATTTAATATTTACATTAAAAAAAGCCTCCAATTTTTTCTTACCATAATTTTTATTTCTTTCATTATAAAATACAATAATTTTATATCTTTTAAAAAGACAAACACTATCTGACAGTTAATATTAACTCCTCTCAGTTTTCATTTTTTTTTATACTCTTAAAATTAATTCTCTAGTTGAAAATTCTTAAGCTTGTACCTCCTTTTTCTTATTTTTTTTAATCGTTGCACACGTATATATATTGCTTGTATATTTTGGACACCTGCTAGATTCATGGGCTAATAATGGTGTATGATTTGGGCTCAACAGCTCCGTTTTCGATAAGACTTGAGCTAGATAATTTTTTTGGGTATTTTTTTAAGGATAACTTTCATTAAGGAGGGCTAAACATGTCGAAGAAAGTCAAATTACAAATGATTGTGGGGTATCCTAGGGCTTGTTTGGTGTGACGTACAAGGCATGATAGTATAAGTTTATATTATATATTATGACATTTTCAGTTATTTGGTGTGGCCATTTTGGGAGGGGTTTAAAGCCTTAATCCTGGACCCGTCCCGAATCGGATTAGTTGCGAAGCAATGAATCGATTGGAATATTTCCAAAAAAAAAGCTTATACAACATAATTCCTTAATACATCAAAACGATGTATAACTTAATCCGGCCTAAGGGTGAAGGATAATGCCTGATAAGAGATTGATGTATTAACATCGTTGACCAATGTAATTCTCAAAAATTAATATATTATTTTAATATAATTCTATTAAAATAAAAATTAATTTTTCAATATATTAACTTTTAAAATATTGAATATTTTTATTTTTATAAAAATTTACTTATATTTGGACACACTGACCAATAAATTTTTATAAAAATTAATATCACATGACATTTTTTGAAGAATTATATAAATTCTTTATTAAACGATATTTTTATTAAAAATATTTACTTTTATTAAAAATATTTATTTTTATCATATATAGTATTATACAATGCTTTACCAAATACTAGCAGATATTATCTTATACAATATATTATTTTATACAATACCGTGTCAAACACTGAATAGTATTAAAATTCAATCAGGTCTTATACAATCAGAACTTATATTATCAAATTTTATACTGTCATGCTTTATCCTATACTATGCACCAAACATGTCCTTAATCCATATACAACCTGGATCTGTCTTTTAGCATTGGAAATAAAAGATCTTAATCATCCAAAATTACCAGGCCAAAATGTGTGTTGTGTTGTTTCTTTTGTTCAAACTGGTCAATGACTTCTAGGCAATCCCGTTCCAAAATCACGATAAGGAAGCATAGACACTGGGCTAGTTGGAGGCCCAAAGAGGATGCATTGGATTTGATTATTTTTTTTTTTGGTAGGTATTGGATTTGATTTTTTGTTTACAGTGTAAAGCTTTTTTATACTATTATCAAATTATGCGTTATGAAATTAATTTTTTAGAAAATAATAAAACTTCAACAACAATTACCATGACATTTAATTCTTTTTCTTATATGTTAACGTATGATATATTATCAAATGAATAATATATATAGATTTTACTGCGGTTTTAATTTTTTTTCCCTTCCCCGTTATTATCTTGTATTTTCCTTTTAATTTTGCAAATTTTAATATTCATATTCATATTCATCTTCATATTCTTTCAACTATTTTTTTTTTATTTCATTATTTTTTAAAAAATGAAGACTTGTGTTCACCAGTGCCCACTAAACTAACCCATCACCATCGTTATGAGCATTCCATTGACAAAACTCACTTCGCTAACTTTAAAAGCCAAATGTGGCAAAGGGGGCTCTTCACGGCGTAATGCTTTGTAGTTGTAGCATGGATCTGCCCTCCTACATCCTCCGCCTCCACCATTCTTCTTTATGGGTTATGCACCCCACGTGTTTCGAATTCTTCGACTATCAAAACCTTTTTTTTTTTGGTAACATAAAACCTTTTTATATTTTCACTCACGTATCAATTTTTTTTTTTACAATATACTTATTATTTTTAATGACACAACATTATATTATTTTAAGTTAAATAAATTTATTTTGATATATATTTGTTAATTTTTTTACCTTTTCTTTCATCCACAAAATAAAAAGAAAAAAAGAAAATGCAGATGAAAGAGACAAAAAATATTATAGATAAAGATAATGTTAAAATCAATAAATATACACAAAAATATGATTATTTCACTTAAAAAGATATAAAATTTATCTCTTAAAATGATAAAATTTTTTTTTCGATTCCCAACCATTTTTCTAATTAGCTTGAAATTGCTTCACGGTAACAAGATTATGAGTGTAAATGGGCTAAGCAAAGGAAAGAATCGGTTATATTTTTCATATGATCTCCTCTTATGGATAGACTAATTATCTTTCTACGATTCCTATTTTTTAAATTTTTGTAGTTTTTTTCTTTTATATGATAGATCTATCATATAAAAGAAAATTCCCATTACTTACTATTAATTCATATTAATTATTAGCAATTAGCAATAATATTACTATAAACAAAAGTCAGTAATAAGAATAAAGAAAAAGAATGTTATCCAAAATTATATTTTTTATTGGACTTGGTCAGTAGACCAATTTTTTTTTTAAATTATTTAGAAAGCAGATCATAGATTTTTTTATACATGTCTAACATATAAGGCTATAGGCTGACCTATATCATATTATATATTTTAAATAAAATAAATAAAAATATCATTTTAATAATTTTGAATAATAAAGTAACATTATTTTAGTTTTTTTTAATTATTAATATTTAATACGTTTAAATAGGCTAACAAGTCTAGATCAATGCTTTTATTTTTTAAATATAGGTCAGACCAGACTTGTAAATAGTCTAACAGGTCAGGCTAAGTCAAATTTTTTTTACACATGCCTAGCTTATTTAAACCAAAACCTAATTTAGTATAATCTATTTACACTCTTATTTATCAGCTTTGTGCTATATCTGGATATTTTTTTGCATCATTTTAATTTAAAAGCATAATGAATTAATTTTTTAAATAAATAATTATTTATTATATCTTTGCTAAACAAGTTTTCTTTAAATACATTTTTCATTGTTACCAAAAAAAAATAAATACATTTTTCATAATTTATATATAATACTTAATGACATGATAATTTTTTAAACTTTAATTTTTTATTATAAAATTGTTATTTTAGTTATTGTTTTTTTATTTATTTATACCTTTATTGTTTTTTCATCTTTTTTAACTTTCTAAATAGAAAATAAAGTATATTTATTTTTAATAATAAGAATATTTAATAAGTTTATGTGAAACATATTTATTTGTAATAGGTCCTTTCTCATCCCTTTTACTCTTTTCCGGTGGATTCCATGTGAATTTATCAAAATTTTATATCTATGGACTATGGTGGATTCTTATTTGAACAAAAGTATATTCAAATGATATTATAGTTTTATTTAATTTGTACATATTTCATTTGATGATATATACTAATAATATTTAAATAAGAACCGTTAAAATTATTAATGAGATAATATAGCAAATAAATCTGAATTAATATATGTCTTTAAATAAGATTTACAGAAATATAATTAAGATGCAGTTAAACAATTATTTTGTAAATTGAAAAAATAAATATCAATAATTAGAAATATTTTTAATATCCTTTAACGTGTCAAAATAAATATATTAGCTTTTTATTCATTTAAATTATATATGTACAAAGTTAAAAATTGCACTTAAATAATATTACAAATAACATTTTAAATATGTACATTTTTATTATATTTCAGGAGAAGTAAATTTCAAAACTTCAACCAAATATATATTTTAAATATTTTGACTATAAAATTTTCTTGAAATAAAATGTGTCTTAAATATTTATCTTTTGAATAAAAAATTACAATGACAAATATTTAATTTAATTAAATATAATGCACGAATACATGAACTACTACAATCTAATCAAATCTCTCCCCGAAATATCACAATATCAATCCTAATAAATTTACAATAACAGCATTAAATGCTGGGCAAAACAGCGAACATATTCCGGCGTTTATAAGAGAAAGAGAGAGAGAGAGAGAGAAAGAGTGACGAAACCGAAACCTGAGAGAGAAACTGAGGAATCAGTAAAGGGCGTCTCCTTCTTCTTCTTCTTCTTCTTCTTCTTCTTCTATCTCTTTCTCTTTCTCTATCTCTAATTGGCAGTGGTGTAAGTAACAATTTTGACCTAAAACCCTAGTTTCGATGCTTTAACAATTAACATAGCTACAGAACAATAGATCTTGAAGAAGAACCCTAGAGCAGAGCAGAGCAGAATCAATGGCTGCTGAGTTAGGGCAACAGACGGTGGAGCTATCGACGCTGGTGACTCGAACTGCTCATGAATCGTACAACTCCCTCAAAGAACTTGTGGACAAATGCAGGTCCACCGAATTATCCGATACCGATAAGAAGATTAGCATCCTCAAGTTCCTCAGCAAGACTCAGCAGCGCATGATCCGTCTCAATGTCCTCTCCAAGTGGTGCCAACAGGTCTCCTTTCCATTCAATTCCTCTTTAATTTCTTCCACAACTCATTCGATTCCTTTCTATTGGTCTATGGAAAATTGAAAACTTTTTCTCTTATCGGCAAGAAAAGCAAAAGGGCAAACCCCAGTCTAGGGGTGAGGGTTCATTTTACACCGTCTTAGTTTGACCTTACTATGTATGTAGCAGTGCTACTGAAGAAGGGGAAGTGCAGAAGGGGTAAGAGAGAATAAGAGAGGGTTGAGAGAAAAGAGAGAGGAGTCATGAGGGAGTATTTTCTTCTATGACTATTCCATTCTATTCATGGGGCAAATAACCCCGAGTTTGTTACAAACTGAAAGGAAAATGCTACAACACAACAGAAACATTAGGGTGAATTGCAAGAATCTGAATTGGTTGTAACAGAATTAGCAATATAAAACTGAAAGGAAATGCAGTAATTCATGCAGAGAAGTTGTGGTATTCAGCTCATGGATCGGGTTGCTGTTCTATCACAGGGGCATCTTTACCACTGTCCCGAGGCTTGCCCTCATCCGCAAGAAAAATGAAAATAAAAGGCTTTGGTTGTTTTTGTTCTTGAAATGCAATTCTTTCTACAGTGCAATTTCGTGTTATTTAATTGAATTTCCGGGTACCTTCAGTGTGTTTGTTATGATAACTAGTGTTAAAATGATAACTAGTGTTAAAATAGGAAATAAAAAAAGACTTTCTTTATCGAATTTCCTTGTAATTCGTTGCTTTGCAGGTTCCTTTGATACAGCACTGTCAGAATCTGGCTTCCACTGTTTCAAATCACGACATGTGTTTTACTCAAGCTGCAGATTCATTGTTTTTCATGCATGAGGGGCTTCAGCAAGCTCGTGCTCCGGTCTATGATGTCCCTTCAGCTATTGAAATTCTTCTGACAGGGAGTTACCAGCATTTACCAAAATGTATAGAAGATGTGGGTACTCAGTATGCCTTGACTGAAGATCAGCAGAAGCCTGCTTTGAAGAAGCTGGACATGCTTGTTCGGTCGAAATTGCTTGAAATTTCTTTTCCGAAGGAAATTTCTGATATAAAAGTTTCTGATGGTACAGCACTGGTTAGGGTGGATGGAGAGTTTAAGGTTTTAGTAACACTTGGTTACAGAGGACACCTATCCATGTGGAGGATATTATATTTGGAGCTGCTTGTTGGTGAAAAAAATAGACCTGTGAAATTGGAAGAATCACGACGTCATGTACTTGGAGATGATCTAGAGAGACGAATGGCAGCAGCAGAAAATCCGTTTTTAATATTGTACTCTGTCCTTCATGAGCTATGTGTTGCACTTGTCATGGACACAGTTATAAGGCAAGTGCAAGCTCTTCGACAGGGAAGATGGAAAGATGCAATTCGGTTTGAGCTCATAGCTGAGGGTGGCATGGGTCATGGAGCAAGTTCTGGTTCTGTGCAGAACCCTGATGGGGAATCTGATTCATCTGGCCTACGAACTCCAGGGTTAAAAATTATATACTGGTTAGATTTGGATAAAAATGCTGGTATGTCTGAATCAGGTGCATGCCCATTTATAAAAATTGAACCTGGACCTGATCTTCAGATAAAGTGTCTCCACAGCAACTTTGTTATAGATCCGTCAACGGGCAAGGAGGCAGAGTTTTCTTTGGATCAGAGTAGTATTGATGTTGAGAGGTTGCTATTAAGAGCTATTTGTTGCAACAGATATACTCGTCTGCTGGAAGTTAAAAGAGAACTAGTAAAAAATATTCAGGTCTGTCGAACAGCAGATGATGTTGTGGTCCAGTCTCGTATGGGTGAATCTGATATTGAATATAAACAGGTTGGTTTACATTTATTGGGGAAATTTTATCTTCTTGAGAGTTTGGAGTGTCAAATTGGTATGTTGCATTGGGCTTTTCTGTTATATGACTCTTTTGGGCTTTTGTTTTATGTAATTATTGTTTGGTGTCACTGCTTTTGTTTCAGAGAAATTGAGTCTCAATTCATGATATTTAACTTCTTTTTTTTATTCTGGTATACTGGTACTGCAACTGGTTTGCTTTGTAATTGTTCATGTGGTAAATATTTGTATTTAGATAGAGCATGAATCTGCTTTCTTTTAAGTACTATGTGAGAAATCTATGTTCTATAAACTTTTGTTTCTGAACAGTCAATTTTGGCTAATAATGCTTATTGTAGATTAAGATAAACGGTTTTTTACTGTTTTTGGTCAAAAGTATATTCATATTCTTTCTACATACATGGAGTTTACTATGTTGATATGCATATTTCTGCATTTAAATAATCTTGAGCTTTACATCATGCGCAAACTGCAGTTGCAATTTTATAGTTTCATTCATGATACTTTCTTATGGATCTTCTGTGTGAATCTTATACTCTACCTTCTCCCATTCAATATTGCATGGCCTTTTAAAAATAAGATCTACTTCTGTTTGTAGAAGGATGATAAATGCTGCAGCAAGGACTCTGAGGGGCATGAGGTCTTGCGTGTGCGTGCCTATGGATCTTCCTTTTTTACTCTTGGAATTACTATCAGGTACTTACTTTATGCACTTGCTTTTTCCTAACCTCTCTGCATTTTAATTTGGGGTTTTTCAAATCCATTCCCCCGTTTTGTTATTCAGGAATGGCCGTTTCCTTCTTCAATCATCACAAAACATAGTTGTTTCTTCCGCTTTGTTAGAATGTGAAGAAGCTTTAAATCAGGGATCTATGACTGCAGCTGAGGTTTTCATAAGCTTGAGAAGCAAAAGTCTATTGCACTTGTTTGCATCCATTGGAAGGGTTTTAGGCCTTGAGGTATATTTTCTTGTTTTCTCTCCTTTGATCGTTGAAAGAAAGTTTGTTTGGACTGTCTTTGAGTTTATTATTGGGATTACTGGCTTCCCCAAGACCTATGACATATGGGGCACTCTTGCAGGTATATGAGGATGGATTCAATACAGTTAAAATACCCAAAAACATTTCAAATGGTTCAGCTATGCTAATGATGGGATTTCCAGACTGTGGAAGCTCTTACTTCTTGCTGATGAATCTTGATAAGGATTTTAAACCCTTGTTTAAGTTGTTAGAGACTCAGCCAGACCCATCTAGAAAAGATAATTTATTTGGCGACCTCAATCAGGTGTTGCGGAACAAGAAAATTGATGTAGGACAGATGCAGGTGCTTGAAGATGAAATGAATTTAAGCCTGGTTGACTGGGGAAAATTACGCTCTGTTTTGCCCAATGCTGCTTGTCCAAATCAAACATCCGGGAATGAGTTTCTTTCTGACATTCGCCTTGAAAATTCCATACAAATTGCAAGAGGTCATCCATCAGGTTTTCCATCTCTTGTGGATGAAGTGTTTGGACTTGAGAAAGGGTCTTCTGCCCCTCCATTCTCTGTTCAAAATCTCTCTTCATCCTTGAATACATCCCTTCCTTCGCATTATGGTCCCATGCCAATGAATCTCCATAGTTTAAAGGCTGGAACCCCTTCTCCAAAGTGGGAAGGAGGCATGCAGATTTCACAGGTTAATAATGTAACAAAACCTTCTGGTGTCGCTACCCACTATAGTGGTTCCTTGTTCTCATCAGGCAGTGCCAAGGGCCCAGTTCAGTCCAGTTCTGTTGGTTCAATTCCCACCGGACAAGGAAGGAGCACATCTGGGAAAAAGATATCTGCTTCAAAGTCTGAACAGGATTTGGCTTCTCTTAAATCTCCCCATTCAGTTGACACAAGTTCCTCTACTGCAATGGATGAAGAACAGTTAAGAGTGTTGAGTGATACTTCTAATGATGCTTTATGTGGAAGTCGGTCATCTCAACTATTATCTCCTCCCCGGCCAGCTGACTCTCGTATGTCTGTACCTAGTTCCAGACCTAATGGACCTCAAGTTGAATTGTTCAAGGCTGCTGGATCTAGTTCCTGTGCTACAACTCCCGTATGTAAGATACTTTCTTCGTGTCTATCTTTATCACACTGGGTATATGTTTGCTGTTATATTTTTTTCCTTTATCTTTCAGTAAGCCATAAATGAATAGCAAAATGAATCTTTGCAGCCCAGGCACTGGAATCCACAGTTAATTATTGCACTAGTGAAGATGTTATCTCCAAACATGATAAAAAATCTAAAAAACGAACAGCTTCAGATATGTTGAATTTGATTCCATCTCTTCAAGGTCTTGAAAACAACCCAGGAATCTGCAAGAGAAGAAAGATTTCAGATTCATCTGGCTCTCAGCTGTCTTTGCCACAAGGCATTATATCCACTGAAATGATACCTAAAACCGAAAGATATAGTTATGAAAGTTTAATTGCAGAAGCAAATAAAGGGAATGCTCCATCTAGCATTTACATAGCAGCCCTTCTTCATGTGGTCAGGCACTGTTCACTTTGCATTAAGCATGCTAGACTAACCAGTCAGATGGATGCATTAGACATCTCATATGTTGAAGAAGTGGGTTTAAGAAATGCATCCTCTAACATATGGTTCCGACTTCCATTTGCTAGAGGTGATTCATGGCAACATATATGCTTGCGACTTGGCAGACCTGGTTGCATGTATTGGGATGTTAAGATAAATGACCAGCACTTCAGGGATTTATGGGAGCTTCAGAAAGGGGGCAGTAACACACCATGGGGTTCAGGTGTTCGAATTGCTAATACATCTGACATAGATTCACACATACACTATGATCCAGATGGTGTTGTTTTGAGTTATCAATCTGTTGAGGTAGATAGTATAAAGAAACTAGTGGCTGATATCCAAAGGCTTGCCAATGCAAGAACATTTGCTCTTGGCATGCGGAAATTGCTTGGTATAAGAGCAGATGAGAAGTCAGAAGACCTGCTTACAAGTTCTGATGTTAAAATATCTGTTGCCAAGGTTGCTTCAGATACTGCAGACAAACTATCAGAACAGATGAGAAGGGCGTTTAGAATTGAGGCAGTTGGACTGATGAGCTTGTGGTTTAGCTTTGGTTCAAGTGTCCTTGCTCGTTTTGTTGTTGAGTGGGAATCTGGTAAAGAGGGTTGCACAATGCATGTATCTCCTGACCAACTTTGGCCTCACACCAAGGTTTTGTTAATTTCTCTTAAACTGTTTGCTATTTGTTTCTTGTTTTTTTTTCCCATTCTGTTGATTTTGGTGTCAGTAATAGATGATTATTCTTCTCTTGTGCCTTGGAATATTAATAATTATGTCAATTTAGAACAATATACGCATGCTTCATTATTAAGCCAGGATTGTTGGCTTCAAATGTTTTCTTGATTCACTGTGTTCGTTATTTCCGCCCATCATTCTTGGATCCCCCCCCCCATTTCATGATAATTAATAAACATGATCTTGCAATGGTATTGTTCTCCTTTGACTGTACCTGGGCCATTTCATATTTACTATGATTATTTATACTGCCTTCAAGGTTAAAGTGCTGTTGAACGTCTTTCTTTTGTTTGGTCAGCTGATTATGCGATATAAACTAGAAAATGCAGTATATTAGTTTAATTGTTATGGTTATTTTTGTTGATGTATGACTATGACAAGTAATGCTTGATGCCATTTTTTCTCTGATATTTCAGTGGTGAAAAGAAACCAGTTTACTTAGTGTGAAGTTGTCTTTTGTATAGATATATCAAATATTGTCCTGGATCTCTCCCCACCCCGTTCCCTAGAAAAATTGCTGGGCCTATATATTCACTGTCTTAGGTGTTTGTATTGTTTACAGTTTCTAGAAGATTTCATAAATGGAGCTGAAGTTTCATCGCTTTTGGATTGCATTCGGCTGACTGCAGGGCCCTTGCATGCGCTGGCAGCTGCAACCAGGCCAGCACGAGCTGGTCCTGTCCCAGGGGTTCCAGCTGCCCTATCTTCTATCCCTAAACAGACTGGTTATATATCATCGCAAGGACTGCTGCTTAGTAGTTCAACCACTAATGTTGGTCAGCCTACTTCTGGTCCTGGGGGGAACACTGTCATGTCTGCCGCTAGTGGTCTCACTAACCAAACCCTTTCAATGTTAGCTGCTGCTGGGCGTGGTGGCCCGGGCATTGTTCCAAGTTCACTTTTGCCCATTGATGTCTCTGTTGTGCTCCGTGGTCCCTATTGGATACGAATCATGTACAGGAAACAGTTTGCAGTTGACATGCGTTGCTTTGCAGGAGATCAGGTGTGGTTGCAGCCTGCAACACCACCTAAAGAGGATCGTCTTTCTGGAGGGTCCTTGCCATGCCCCCAGTTTCGGCCTTTCATCATGGAACATGTTGCCCAGGAATTAAATGGATTAGATCCTAGTTTCACTGGGCAACAGGTAGGTGGGGTGGCAAGTTCAAATAATCCAAATCCTGGTTCAGGGTCCCAGTTGATGGCTGCAAATGGAAATAGAATAAACCTGCCAACTTCTGCTGCAATGTCTAGGACAGGAAACCAAGTAGCTAGTTTAAACCGTGTGGGAAATGCTTTAGCAGGATCTTCAAATTTAGCTTTGATGACATCAGCAGTCTCCCTGCGTAGGCCACCTGGAACAGTTGTCCCAGCGCATGTCAGAGGCGAGCTGAATACAGCCATTATTGGCCTTGGGGATGATGGAGGTTATGGAGGCGGTTGGGTTCCTCTTGTTGCTCTTAAGAAGGTTTTGAGAGGTATTCTCAAGTATCTAGGAGTGCTATGGCTATTTGCCCAGTTACCAGATATTTTGAAAGAAATCCTAGGATCCATTTTGAAGGAAAATGAAGGTGCACTCTTGAACTTAGATCCCGAGCAACCTGCATTGCGCTTTTTTGTTGGGTAAGTCTTTTTTTCCCTCTCTCCTGTTGTGCTATATCAAATTTTTGTTTCTAGAAACTTTTCTTTTTTAATTTCTCTTTGCTATAATTTTTTGTATTTCTTCTTGATCCAAGGACTTTTACTATCTCTTTACCCTTCGTACTTAAAAAAGGGGGAATATGATGGAATTGAAACATGACCAGTTACAGTTGTGGTATTGGTATTGGATTGTCTGCCTTTATCCTTTCGTCTGCTATACTTTTTCAAAATCATTGTTTGTTTCATTGCCTAGTTCACTTGGGTAATTTAGCCTAGTGAGTTCTTGCAACAAGAATTTTCAATTGTTGAATTTTGGATAAGTATGTAAAATAAAATGCCTATGTATTACATTTTCTTATTTGAACTAGTTAATTTGAGCATGATACAGCAAAGTAATTTTTCCATGTTAATGAATGTTATGCATATGGATAATTTAAATGAATTATTAGCTATAGTTGGCCAAAAAAAAAAGCGCTTGATTGCATTTTGATCCCTTTAGTTTTATAAAAGTTCAATTTTAGTCCCCATATTTTCAATTTTAACAATTATCTGCCCATCAGCTGAAGAAGTTCTCTTTTTGCTAATGGAGCATTTTGGCGAACCGTCTTTGCATCATAAAAACAAGAAATTCTTTAGGGTGCTCTGGAAGGATTTTTCTTTCTTTGTACTATTGAATGTACTATCTCAGCTATAGCATTATAAATGTAGAGAAAGTGGGAGACAATGATGGCCTACGCTGAGGTGCTACACTTTCAATGATATAGAGCAAGAGATATCAAATTTAAAGCCATGTGAGCAAAAGCAGTGTGACTTAATTGCTTATATATGGAAACTACAGGGTAATGTTGCAATTGGAACTAGAGGAACCAAAATGAAATTTGGTGAAACTAGGACTAATATTGTAATTAAGCTTTAAAAACAAAAACTTAGTAGCTAGCATCTTCCTAGGCTCTTATTCTTAAATTCTTGCTATTCTTATTCCATTTATTAGGGGCACTAAACAGTAAGCTGCCTTTTCATCCTTCTGCAGGGGCTATGTGTTTGCTGTTAGTGTCCATAGAGTTCAGCTTCTTCTTCAGGTGTTAAGTGTAAAACGCTTTCACCATCAACAGCAGCAACAACAGCAAAACTCAAATCCTGCACCAGAGGAATTAAGTCAATCTGAAATAAGTGAAATTTGTGACTACTTCAGTCGCCGGGTGGCATCAGAGCCCTATGATGCTTCTCGTGTTGCATCATTTATAACTATGCTCACCTTACCTGTATCGGTTCTGAGAGAATTCTTGAAATTGATTGCTTGGAAAAAGGGTTTATCCCAGGCACAAGTTGGAGATGTTGTATCGGCACAAAAACCACGGATTGAGTTATGTCTTGAAAATCATGCTGGGTTGAACGCAGATGAGAACTCAGAGAGCTCATGTGCATTTAGAAGCAACATCCACTATGATCGCCTGCATAATTCTGTTGATTTTGCACTTACTGTTGTTCTTGATTCTGCTCACATCCCGCATGTCAATGCTGCGGGTGGTGCTGCGTGGTTGCCATACTGTGTTTCAGTAAGGTTGAAATATTCATTTAGTGAAAGTCCTAATGTATCATTTCTTGGCATGGACGGTAGCCATGGTGGTAGGGCCTGTTGGTTGCGTGCTGATGATTGGGAGAAATGCAGAGAGAGGGTGGCACAAACAGTCAAGGTTAATGGGAGCTCAGCAGTAGATGTAAGTCAAGGTAGGTTGAAATTAATTGCAGATAGTGTGCAAAGAACTTTGCATATGTGCATTCAAGGGCTAAGAGATGGTAGTGGGGTCACAGCAAGCTCTGGAGCAACGTGATTGTTTTGTTACCAGCACCAGCGGTTATATATATATGTTGGGTTAGTGCTGATCTGAAACGGTGCCGTGCTGAGTTAAGCATGCACTCATGTCATATGCAGTTCTATTGGAGATGAGTTTGCGCTGTAACGGAGAAAGTGCACGGTGGCGATTACAGATGATTTTGATAAAATTTGTAAGGAGATTGACATTTGACAGTTAGCCTTAGATAAGCGGGCACCAATTTTAGATTACTAACCAATATTTGACGTTTCTCAGATCATTACGATTCGAATTAGGTTGTACAATATTTTGCTGATATGTAGTATCGTGGTGTAACTTGGTGGTGGCTTTTCTTGTACAGATAGACATATCAAATGAATAGATTAGTGAAGGAAATTTGTTCGTCATTGTGTATCTTGGTTCAGACCATTGAAACAGCTATCTCAGCCAGTGAACCATATTTGATTGTGTGAATGAATTCTATTGACATAAGGTCGTGTGATAGGGTTTCAGTTATGTAAATACAAAGTAACGTTATTATTTTTTCTCTTTATTTTGATGTTGATGTGTATCTGGACAATTGTCTCACGTCATTTGAATATATAGAATACTTCGATTCAACTAATTTTTAATAATCTTAAATTACTAATCATTTGGTCTTTTGTTATTTTTTTTTTTAGAGAAAGGTTATATTTACTAATTTTTTTTACTACTTGTTACTACCAAATCTTAACCGTTGATTTCCGTCAATCTAACGGTTATAATTTGTGGAATTTGCAATAAGTTATAACCGTTAGATTGACGAAAATCAACGGTTAAGATTTAGTAGTAACAAGTACTAAGAAAAATAGGTAAGTATAACATTTTTTTTTTTTTTTTTATGTGAAAAACTATATTAAGCATTGCATCATTAGTATCTTTTTGATTAAATATTTCTTTTTATTAAACTATTTAATAAAATTTGGACTTTTAAAGAAAGGTTTAGTGTTTGTCCTTTTATATCATTTTAAGTGAGAGTGATTGATCTGAATCATGGAAAAAATAACTAAAAGAATCATCGTAACATGTCTTTGGCGGCGACAAACACTAATCAACGGTGACTAAGCTAGCCGGAGACCGATGCGCAACAAGAAAGTTGCCTTTTGTTTTGGTTGTGATGCTCTACAATCTACACACTATATCAATTAATTCCTACAAAAAGGAGTTATGTAATGTAATTGATCACATAAAATAGCACAAAAGAGAAAAGCCAAGTAACATGGCGGGGCAAGCTTGAGTCCCTCTCACCATCAAGATCAATTATTAAGAAATTTGCCTAAACTAAAATGATTGCAGAGCTATCTCTAAGCGTAAACTAATTTAAATAATAATGGAATGATATGAAGGATTAACCTAATTTAGTCCAGTAAATTAACCCAACGTAATCTCTCACTCCCGGTCCCACTTTCTCCGTTATGGTTAGGTTCAGTGACCTTTTAGCTAATTGTAAGGGACAATTCACTTTTTGAAGAAACAAACCAAACTCAACAACATGTATAATTATTTATTTGAAAATACTAACTTTTCCAATAGTCAGATGCTTCCAAACCGCTTTACAAGACAACCAACCATTTTCTAATTCAACTTGCATAAAAATTTTCTTCAGATACATCGTACACACACATTCCTTCCTTCTGATTGGTCCCATTTTCCACTGATTCAAAAATCAATAACAAAGAAAAAGAAGCATCCACTATAAATATTTGGTCATCCACCACCAACCCCACCATCGATATTTAAAGAGAAAATCATCAATAGGGGCTTTGAAAATCTTTGATCTTAACAATGACAGGAACACGCTGGGGCTCCTCCGGTTTTAACTTATTAGGAATGACTATCACTCCTTGTTTGACAGAACTTTAAAAGATTGACCAGCATCACGGACTTGACCCTTCCATCCAAGTATACAAGAAACTAGAAATACCCTTGTCCTAAGAAAGGGATAATGGATCAAATATGGGGCTGAGAATATTGTGCTAAACAAACCTTTGTGATGTCTGTCATGATATATTTTTGGTTCTAAGAATGGCTGTTTGATTCAGGTCTGATGAATGATGGTGCTTCTGATTGGGGGTTATAAAAGATGGCTGAGGCTAGAGATATTGGCATGATGCAAAGGGCCTTTGACTGAAGATATTGCATAGCAGCTCCAACATCTTCTTCCATAAGTTTAGCAACTTCTTGTTCTGTGCCATCATTGGACCACTTGTCCCAGGCTTGCTGATTGGCCCCACCTTCAATGTCATCACTCTACACATACAATCAATAAAACCAATGGAATCTCGTTAACATACACATACAACATTCAAAGCAAAAGCAAACATACCAAAAGCGTGCGATGAAGGAAAAATAAAATTAACATGTAGATACATTCCGTGGTAATGGTACAAGAACTTGCATGTGCCGTGCAGTGCTTAAAAAAAAAAAAAAGGGACAACAAAATTAACATGTAGATAGAAATAATGAACATAATATAAGGGAAAAAAAAAACTAGCACGTCTTTTGAAGTTGATCTTTGCCAAATTAATTACCTCCAGTGCAGATAGGGGAACATCAGCCACAAGCTGAGCAACTGCACCAGTTCCACCCATTCTACTCATGCTCAGGACCTGTTTGAATATGTAGATGAAATTAAATGACATGTAAAGGACATAGAGAAATAAAACAAGGTCCAACTTACTTAGAAGCTTTGGTACAAAGAAAAGCAAAGCAGGATGAAAGTTACACACAATGACATGACACAATATCTCAATCCAGGAATGACCTTGTAACTACTACGCGTATAAAGTAACAATAAAGGTCATAGATAATGTGCGATATTCCACATTACTGGGCCCTACTATGTGCTAACAGTCTAAAGACCGAAAAAATTCTATATACAACTAATGCAACGGTCATATTATAACTATATAGTACGGGTAGTATATAGTTATAATAATAAAGTTATTTTTTTTCTTAGATATTGTCGGCTGACGTGACAGAAAGAGAAAAAATAATTTTACCATTATAACTATATACTATATATGATACATAATTATAATAGACCGTTGCATTGAATATTTAGTGCAACGGTTGTCCTGAAAATGCTTTCCTAAAGACTTGGTAGCATTAACAATTTGGAACTAGTTTCTCAAAAACAATGACTTAGTGCTCTTACTTACATGTGCATTAGATTGACTTCAAAAGGCATCCATAAAATTAATAACTTCCAAAGAAAGAGATTTTAAACATGGAACTATGAAATAAAGTGAGTATTCGATGATTGTGAATATATTTGGAGCATCCTTACCTTAACCTGGAGCCTTAAGAACTTGACATAATCCACAATTTCGTCAAGCATCACTGCTCTGTCTGTCTACAACCAGTTTCATAACATATATATAAGCAAAACATAAAATCACATTATGACATGAAAAAACACATTGTTATCTTAAAGTACAACATTTTACTTTCTCTATGTATGTTATCCGTTACTTTGATTTGCTTTAAAGTGGACAGATGCCTTAATGGTTGTTTAAATAAGAAAGTATCTATTAGCGATCAACAAACAACGGATATTTTTTCATTTCAAGCTTTAAGAAACGATAATTTCTAAAGCTCATAAAAAAGGTATAGTTACTATATTTTAATATTGGAATTATTATTTATCATATTATTATCTTCTACACACATAAGAGTGTATAGAGCCCACGTGAAAAGAAGAGTGAAAAAAAAAATATGGGTCTCGTATACTTTTATATGTGTAGGAAATTATCATCTATAACATGAGAGATATTAAACCCTTTAATATTAATGCATTGCAAAATTAACCAACCTTATTGGCGCTGGGAACTAGTTCCTGCAATGCCTTCATTCTTTCAGCGATTCTTTCACGACGTAACTACATTGAATACAAAAGAATGAGAAGGAAATAAGCAATACAGAGATGCTCATAGATGGACAATAAAAAGAACGATATAACTAGTGATTTTTATTTTTATTTTTTTTTATTAAAGAGAAAACATGCATGCAACAAATAAATAGTGAACTTTTGAATAAAAAATTGTGTGGCTTACTCGCTCAGCAATACTGTGAGGGTCTGTAGCTTGCCCTCTTCTTGCTCGCACTCGAGGGCGTATACCAGGTGGATGTGGAACAGGAGCAACAGATACTGGTGTTGGTAGCTGGCTATGAAGGTGCTACAATGGCATCATAATTAACCAAATTATCGATGGCTGGAGTTGGTGAGCAAATTAATATTTTAATTGAAGTTGTAGTAAAAACTTTTTTTTAATAAAAATAATAATGATTAATAATTTATTTGATAACAATTTTCCTAGTTTTATATAACCAGTTAATGTTGAAACAATTAATAGAATTAGTTATCCATACAAAAACTTTTTAAAATTGTCTAATGCCTAAAATATCAAGCTGGTTTAGTTTAGGTTAGGGTCTCACATATGATCTGAAGTTTGCAAATTCAAAATGTGCACTTGGTATACTAGTATACTTGGCTAAATGTCCTATCCTCACAACATCAAACTGTACGTGAGATTCTTGGCAATTTTAATTATTAATTTTCAATCCCTATTTTAATATAGTTCCCTAAATCATATTTAATGCGGTTAATTGTTCCAGTCGGATTTTAATTAATAACATTTCATTTACATATTCAAAGTTTCATACTTAATTAAAAGCAACTTAAAGAATACAATTTAAGATATCCAATAAAAATATAAATAAACCATAAAAAGGGTAATAGCCATACCCTAAAAATCTCTATCAACTGATTTATATGTAAAACAGTGTCCCACACGCTGATTAGAATTGGATACTTTATGTAAATTATAGGGACATATATTTGAATAAAGGGTTAGTGGAGATAATTTTATTTTCTATATATGCATAAAAAAGTGTGGAATTCATATAGGTCTATATGAAAATAAGAGAGAAAAAAAAAAATAAGTCTCATACATTTTTATATATGTGTAAGAAATAAAATTATCTATAAGAAATATTAATCCCTTAAATAAAAATTAGAAAAATTAAAGAAACTAAGAAAAAAATGTAAAGATAGAATATGTAATGATGACTTTTAAATATTTATTTCAAAAAGTTAATGACAAAATAGTATATTCTTATTGAATAATTAAATAATATTTATAATTTTTTTAACAAAATATGAAAAAAATAAAGATTCTACTAACATTCTACAAATGAAATATAAATCAAAATTCAAAATTTCAAATACAAAACATAAAAAAAAAACTTTTTAACTTTTCAAAAAAAAAAAAAAACTTTTGAACTATTTTATTTAACAACATTAATTATTATTTTTTGTAAGAACATTAATTGTTTAGTCAAAAAGAGAAGACAGTATTCCGCACAAGTGCAGCGAAAACGCGTCAGGTAAGCGGTTCGAGTTATTGGGTGTGTGTGTGTCAGACAGATATCAGAAGAACTGCGTAATGACTAATAAGTCTGAGTAAAAAACAACACAGTCTCAGTCATTCACCAAATAAACTAATTCTATATATCTCCGCATACATTACTGTAAAACTAGTACCAAATGTGTGCACTTTAATTTATTTGTAAAGCATAAAATGAAACAAACAAACAAAACAAAACAAAACAAAGAAAGCCACCTATTCTGCGAATGCGAATATAGCCCTTGAATGGCTGAAAAACGAATCCAACCAGATAGTTGAAATTATAAAAGAAAGCCTCTAGACCCGATGATTGAATTGAGACGAGAAGAAAGGGAAAGGCAATAATGGGAGTAATTTAATTAATGGCTTCTTTACTCTCATATAATAAAGAGATAAATCACATCTTATAATAAGAAAAAAAGAAAAAAAAAATGACATCATAATTATCAAAGAGTCTATAACATAAGATGCAAGGTGAAGCAAATTATGGAATTTTTTTTAAATAATAGTAAATAAATGAATGGCCATAGGTGAAGCAAATCATAATCATAACTATGCAGAGGCATCTCCTCCTCTTTATAAGATTATCATAATTATGCTTTACAAGGTGAATCAACTTTAAGGTTGATAGCAATATAACATATTAAATTAATTGTCTTTATATAGGATTATTATTATTATTAGTGAATGTTAAATGAAAGGTGAGGAAGTAAATCATGGTTGAGCAATGAAGATTAAAATGGTTAATTATATATATATATATATATACAGGGTTCAAGTTTTCTCATGTTGTAGGATAGTAGGAGAGAAAAAAAGTAGAGTGAAGTTAAATGTGGGTCCCATCTTTTATATTAAAAAAGAAAAGAAAAATTAATTGACACAGAAAACGAATTTGTGTAGGAAAAAATGTTACTCTCACGTAGCATGAGAGTATTATTTCCCATATATATATTAGTTTCATATATACCTGGTGGTGGTGCGGGTGGAGTAGGGATTGAGCAGGAGATGGGACGGTGGGGCGAACAGACTGAGCATGAGCATGACTATGACTATGAAGTTGTCCCAACCCTGCATACATGCCCCTTTCCTGTTCCACACATGAAATAACAAAAATAATAATAATAATCCATATATATATATATATATGAAAATGAATGCCACAGCCATTAATAATAATTTCATTTCTTGTCCTAGCTAGCTAGCTCTATCTAGCTATTTCACTTAGCAAGAGTATCATGTTATGTTGTTGAACAGGTTTTCAGTAATATATCCATTTCATGGTAAAAGCAAGAAAACAAACAAACATCATATAATAATTGTTGGATATGATACTTACAGTGAATCCTGAAGTAGAAGAGGATGATGAGGTAGTACTGTTGTTAGTATTATTATGATGGTGGTTGTTATTCAGACGAAGATCATTGCTCGTGTGTTGTTGGTGTCTCAAAAAGCCTGGTTCCAAATTCAACCCCAAAGGCATGCCCATACCTATACCCATACCCAAGGACTCTCTGAACCCATCACCACCACCATTTGTGGACCCTAACTGCAACATCATTGGGCTCCTCCCATACCCTATAGCTCCTCCACCTTCAGGCACCGCCAAGATCTGCTCCAAGAAATCATCACCCAAACCCTCGGAGGAGCAATTACCCGCCATGCCTACCAAACTATAATTCTTCTATGCAAAGCTTTCAACTTTAACTAAATGAGCAAGTAATGTAATTGTAAAGTACCCTTTTCTATGCAAAAATAAAAATAAAAATAAATTCTTTCTTCGAGTTTGGAAAGCGGAAAAGAAGGAGAGTTTTCGGGAATGGAATTTGGGGGGTTCTACAACTCCACTTCCCAATAATGTTGTGAAGTGTTGAATTTTCTTTTTTGGTTATTTAATTTACGACCACTATTTTTATGATTTGATATCTGAGAAAAAAAAAAGACAAAGAAAGCATGTATGAAAGAGAGCGTGGGGCTTGGTTACTTGGTCATGGTGTTGTGTTGTTTTGCTCTTTCTATTTTCTATTTTTGTATTTCTGAGTTTTTCCGCTTTTCAGCTTTTGGTTCTGAATGCAGAGTGAAGAGAGCCCTGAGTGCGCTCTCACTTTAAAGACACAAACAATAAGAGACAAAGGCTCACAGAGGAAGATAGATGTGAAAGTTGCGCAAAGTTAATCGTGGTTTTGTCCACTTCCTTCATCTTTTTGCTACTTTGTTTAGTCTTTGTTACGTATACGCACGCGCTCACTCTCTTTCTTTTTTAGAATTATATTTAAATTTAAAAATTAAAAATAAGAAAAATAAGAAAAATAAAAGTATGTTTAGATAGACTTCACATAGATTGCCATGCGATTTATTTCAAGTTATCACTCATTCGAATTCAATTTTAGTAAAACCAGTTAAATATAAATGTTGCCACATCATAATTTGTATTCAGATTATACTAAGCAATTTATGTAAATATTACCATTCGTTGTGAGGGGGAGTGAATACGTATCCATTGATAAGCATAAAATTATGTTGAATGTGATTTCTTTTTAGGCGTGGAAAAAAGTGCGTTGCGTGTCACTTCTGTCTTGAGTTTGGGTTTAAAGTCTTCTCCTTAATCCGTGCAAGACTTTATCTCGAAAGACCAAAATAATTCGGCAATCTAAACAGGATTGAATTGGCTATTTTAATATCTAAATATATTTTGAAGTAAAAATTTCATAATTGTTAATGAAAAATGATTTTAATTTCTATATAAAATATAAGTACGACGTAAACAACAATAAATCGTGAATACGGCAAAAAAATTTCTATTAAATTTTTCATTAAGTACTACCGCTTACACTATTCTTTCACAACATACTCTACATTTTAGATAATAGACAATAATTACACGAGGAAATCTTAGGACATTGCCGATTAAGAGCTTATATATTACTTCGTTTATTTTTTTATTATTTTAACTATATTTTAATGTTATAAATTAGGTGGTATAAAAAAAAAAAAAATTTCAGATTTCTTATCACATGCAATTGCCTATTGAAACCAACTTTGGATTGATTTGGTTTTGACTTTGTCCACTACCGAATTTTCTTCTTTTGGTCCACTTGCACCATACAACGGGTTGAAGACTTGAAGTTGAATTAGTGGAGGAGACCAACCACGAATCAATAAAAACAATCTATTTGGAAATCTGACAAAAGTATTTCAATGTTAAGTTGTGTTTAAAGTGAGTTTGGAATGAAAAAAACATCACATGATTATTTAGAGAATTATAACCGTGCAAAAGTGAATCAATGGTAATAAAAGAAAAGAGGGAAAATATTGAAACAAATAGTATAAAATTATAATCATTAATTCATCTTTATATGGTTGTGATCTTCTTACATGACTATTCACTTTTGTTTTCACATAAGAGAATCCATTTCTATTCAGAATTCAGTCTTTTAAAAACTTAAAATAGAACTGTCTTTAAAATGAACAAATATATTTATCTTTTTATTTCTTTTAAAAACCGTGCATGTCCGAACGTCTAAAAGTTTAAAAGCCAAATCTTTTCCTTCGTTTTGTCGATGAAATCTTAAAGTAGTTCAATTACTTCTAAAACGCATTCTCAAATTAAGGTCGAATAGCACCGTGGTCCGTGTGTGTCAATTTACAAAAAAAAAAAAAAAATACAAAAAATAGCACTGTGTCACGACCGTAACTTATTTTGATAACTTTCGTCAATTTTAGAGATGATTCAAACACTTATTCCCATATTAATATATATATGTTATTTGCATCTCAAATAATTTATTTGTCCACTTCAAATTCACTTGTTTCAGACAATAAATTTAATTAAAAATCTTCACCAAATAATTAAAAGAAACAATGTGTATCATTTTAAAGAATGTAAATTGTGTCATTGTAAGTGAGAGAAAGAAATAGATAAAGAAGAAAAGAGAGTTGACAAAAAAAATATAAAAGTGTAAATTTCACCTCTTTATAAGAGTAAAATAACATACGTTGTGTTATTTAAAACGAGAAACACTTTTTTCATAATTAAAGGATACGGAACTTCCTCGCCATCGAATTGCTTTATTAGAAGTTTATTAACTACAGCGAATGCCTCAAGGTACTCGGATAATATTTGAATTAGAAAGGCTTCGCCATCAAATATTCTCCCAATTTGCAGGTGCTTGTAAAAGCACACCAATGGCAATAGCCATAATTGTTGACTTCTTGATGAGCGATGGTATACGAAACAAGCGAATTTTTTTTACACAATTTGCTACTTGTCATCTTTAAACTTTTCTTCTAATGACAAAAGGATCAGATTGGAAGTTCATAAAACCTTACTAAATATTTTTTAACACTTTTTCCACTTTCCTTCCTTCCTTTCTATACCTTTGTTTTCCACCCACATCCATACAAACAAAGGCAAGTTCAATACAATTGCTGTCAACCATGCTTGGTCCTCCCATTTGCTATTGAATGTACAATAATTTAAAGACATCGATCACCCGGTGACCTTAGTGAAGAAAAATTATCAATTTCTTCAACGATTTAACCCTCACTAGTATCCCTCCCCTAATTTTCTCCTATGCACAATCATCGACGTCTGTCGTCTACCAGCCAATATATTAATCTTTTATTTTAAAGCTTGGTCATGATTTCACTGATGACAGGCAGGAATATTAAACTAACAGATCTCAATTAGAGAAAATGGTTTCTTTTAAATGCATAAAATCATGGTGAGAATTTGGTACCTACTTATCATATCTTCTACAAATTTCATCCACTCTCCTTAGAACTAGACACCTCAATGTCTTGCTTCTCCTGTTCACTCACAGCAATAGGTTTCTCAGATGGACCACCTTCTGACGAATCAGGTTCCTTTTTAAGCTCAGACTCAAACTCCTTTGCTGCCTACAAGATTTACAAAATATAATAAATAAACATATAAGCAATGAGAAAAATATATAGCAGTTAATAGATAAAAATATAGCATTCACGTTTAAGTAGCCAGAGTCCAAATATTTTGGCCGCTTAAGTGCATGATGAATGCATATTGATTAGTGAATTTATCCAAATCCATATGCCGATGCCAATCATGGATATTAGGGGATCACTACAAGTTAACATAAAAGCTGAGGAATACAACAGCGCCATCTGACATTTTACTCCTACAAAGGTCCTTTCCACATTTAAGAACCAATTTCTTTTATTTATATTTTTTATTTTATTTTGCTTTTAAATAGTTTCTTTGCAAAAATATGAGTAAGGTTGAGTTACAATCGACCTTCACCCTTACCCTTGCAAAGGTCGATGAGTCTTTGGGCACTGGTACTGGTGTTTGTCTTTTTAATTTTTATTTTTTCTCAAGTATAAACTGGGGGCACTAAGAAAGTGAGCTTCAAAAGTGGTAAAACTGCTCCTTATTGACCAAGAGATCACCGGTTTGAATTCAGTGAATAGTCTATTTGCAAAAAATACAAGGTTAAGCCTACATTCAAGAATTTCTTTCACCCCTACCCTCAATTCCTCACAAGTTGGAATTTCATGGGGAATGGTTTTAAATTTTTTAAAAATAAACTAGGGGCCTTCACCCAAAGAGACTTGCTGAGGGCAATAGTTAAACAGCATGCCCGAAAAATTACAATGAGAGGTATATAAGCCTAAAAAGTGACTCCAAGACACAATCAATTAAGCTTTTCAGTTAAAGTTGAACCACCAGGCCCGTGGGGTCCTAAAAAATGCCGCTTAGTCTTTCTCGGGTTGTCCTCAATGCTCATGTGAAACACAGGCATAATTTATCATCTCACTTTGAGCCACTCATAGGAAGCCGGTTAGAAGAAAAAAGGGTCGAATTGTCCGATCAAAATATTAACAGGTTTAATATGAATATTCGGTACAGACTTTCATTTTTTGAATTATATGTTCTCCATGCTTGATGCCCTCTAATGAAGAGAAACAGAAACAAGCAAAAAGATGAATGTTCTAAGAGCTATGATTTAGAGTGCCTAATGCCTTCTTCCAATATCTTTGCAACAGTTATCTGGGGCTGATTGAATGAGATACCAACGATACAGAGCACCCTAAGCATGTGTAAGACAAGAGTGAGTGACAATCATGAGAAGATGCAAAGAAAGCACCTTAAGCAACTATTTACAAAATAGCACGTCTTGCTGGGATGTGTGGAATCGAAAGTGACAGAGTTACTGGCTTACTAGTGTCGTCAAAGAAAATGTTATTACTATCAAACGCACCAGAAATTCATCAGTGCCTACATCCTACACAACTCACGTAATAAAAGTCTTTCAAGAATATCCTAAGAAAGACAAGGCACCTTCTTAGTTGTTTCCCATATAAAAACTGACAGATGGTGAGCATGTGTGAAAAGTGAGTCTACAATGTTATTTGATGTCAAGTCTATAATAACTAACAAGTAGCTTTTCACAAGATGCAACTAAAACTAATATGTAAGCAGAACAACTCTTTAATTGATGAGAATACTCACTAACCTATTTTCACAAACAGAACATCCCCTTCTTGCGAATTTGATGGATAAAGTATGGAAATCTAGTTGGATATATATATTTAGATATTCCAAAAGACATCCATCCATGGATATGATGTAATTGAAATTCAAATGAGTAATTGAATGGATAAAAAAATACATAAATAAATAAAAAATTGAAAAGATAGAAATGGAGGAATAGGAATTGGAACCTGTTGGAAGCTCTTGACAGTTTTGCCGATGCTGCGACCCACTTCAGGCAACTTCTTGGGTCCAAAAACGAGGGCAGCGACACCAGCAATGACAACAAGCTCTGGTACGCCAAGTCCAAACAAGGCGTTGCAAGTTAGACCCTTGTTTCTTCTGCCTCTCGATTGCTTACGTGGACAGCTCAGGGTTACCTTCGTGCTATTCAACAAGTTGGGGCTGTAACACAAACATGAAGAAGACGAAGATAAACCAACGTTAATAGCGGGTCTTGGAATTGGGATTGAAGAAGACAACCAAACAACACTCCTCATCTCCATCTCTTATGTCTCTTCCTTTGCTTGCCTCTCTGTCACTCTGAGGCTAAGAATTTTTTTATTTTTTTATTTTAAAAAAATTAGATAACCTAATAAATAACCTTAACGAGTACAGCGCCAACATTGACCAATGACCATGGGCCATGGGCCTCTCCGTGAAAACACACAAGCAAACTCGTTCGTTATTTATTTGTCTTCAGGATTTGATTCCTTACATGTTAAAAACTTATGAATTTATTTACGATGTTTTCGGTGAAAAACATATAAATTCAGTCACCAATCTCAACTTAAAATTTCAGTATGGCCGTTTAATTATAATTTGATAATATTTGAAGGAGAATTGTGTGTGTGTTTATTATTATTTTTTATTTTGTGTTTTCATTGGAGTTTTCAATATTTTGAGGAGCGCAGTTTCAACAGTGTAATCCATTAAGGGTTTTGCATTTGTCTGTGCTGTACTTTTTTTCTTTTTCTTTTTATTTCAAACATGGTGAACCCCACACTTATTGTCTCTACAACATGACAGGAGAATTTTCTTACAACATGATACTTGTTTTTTCCATCCATTAATCCGTATAAATTAGTTGAAAACATTTATAAAAGGTATGTTGATCACCGAGTTTCTCCTTCCCCTTACATTAAGGTTGTGGTGCGCCTAGGATGTAGCATTACGTAGTTTAACGAGCATAAAGTATTGGACACATTAAAATGTATGACAAAACGGATGTACAACTGGCCAGTTCCCTCGGAGCTGAAGATGATTCTATTGGCATCTCGAGCAAGTTAATTGCTAGAGACCAAGTCAGTGCACTGATCATACTGCCACTAAGCGTGACACTAACTCAATAAATGAAGCAACCAAATCCAATTTCAATAAAACTAAATCTACCAACATTTCTTTGTCTCCTTTATGTATAACTAATCTTGATTACACATCAACAATGGATTAAAACATTTGGGGGTCCATCAAAAAAAGGAGTATCCAGAGGTATAACATGCTCAATCAAGGCTAAGAAACATCAAATTGATTTACAATATAGTTAAGCAAAATAGGCCCTTACTTACAAAACATCAGAAATAAATAGTTTTAGAAATAATTTCTTTCATGCAAGCATAATGTGAACTAGCTATTCTGTCACTGCTTTCCATTAGAAAGAGGTCCAGATGAATCGACACCGCCACGAATCCGCTTTTGAAGATGTTCCAAGCTAGTCACCCGCTGCAGGGAAGTTGTTCGCCCCATCTTCTTACCACCTACCACTGGTGCAGTGTTCTGCTGCACACTTTCAATCGAAGAAATGCTTCCCACCCCTTTGTTGACTCTCAGATCATGACTGGACACAAGATTGTTAGAAGTGGGTTGACAAAAGTTATGATTTGGGTCTTCTTTCACAGGAACAGCCGCATCAGTTAATGTCTCAGAAGGCCTTCCATCAAATAATGACATTCCCATTGATGATATCCCAGAAACAGCTTGAAACGTTGGGTTCAACCCAGTAATTCTTTTGACGGTCTCTTCAGCCATCTTCACCTAAAAATGAGAACAGCATGGAAGGAAATGATAAATATAAGCATGGCAGATCATTGTCAATACACATGAACCAATATTACTTTCCTTTCACTTAGTTTCTCTCCACTTTGATCAAGATGACACTCTGATTGGGCTCCAACCCTCATCTTGCCACCCAAACCAAACCTAGGGACTTAATTAGCAAGAGCCAGTAGGTTTTCCACTACAGGTTTAAATTATGCCTAGTGAGTACTTAAAGCAATGATAATGATTCACCTTAGCTCTTAATGTTTCGACATCAGCTTTTAATACTCTGTTGTCAACAGCAGCATCACTGTATTTCTGCCTCACATCCGTTAAGCGCTTTAACAATGAGGAATTTTCATCTCTTAATTGAGAGACCTAGGATAGAATATTAGGTCAGAAGACACAGAGACTCAGAGATAAGAAGAGTTAGAAGAAGTCGGATCTAAGAGAAACATCCACACCTGTGTCTCAAGCTCAGTTAAATGAGCCTGCTTTCTTCTTCTTGAGCGTCTGGCAGACTCCCTATTAGAAAGCATCCTTAAAGACAAAAGTCATTATGCATTAAATTAAACAAGGCAGAATTTGTCCCTGAATTGAACAAAATTAATGTTTTCCAATAAAGGAAAGTGAAGAAAGAATCTGTTTATGAAGATCCAATAAAATCTAGATTCATTAAGCTTGACCATTAGTACAAAAAGTTATTTCCACAACTTATTGGATAAAACAGGAGGTACATATTAATCGCTTTAAGAGTAATTATAATACTTGTGCAATCTTTCTTCACAACAGTACTGACGAATTTGCATCTGAATTTGATGGAAAAAAAGTTCAAGTGGGTCTACCTGAACTGAATGCAGTGATATCAAAAGTTAGTGCACAATTTGTGAAAATAATAGTGTAAGACACAATACTTGCACTTAAAAGATCTAATATGATACAATAAGCCAGGCCAGACACTTGATTTATTTATCAGGGCATGATATTAGAATCCACTCCTGAGACCAGAAGCATTAACGTTTTCTATGCCAAACACATTTAATTCCTAGACTATTTTTACCTCCTTACTCGTTTTGCATCAGAAGGGTCCATGTTTTCAATCATATTAATCTCTCCCTCAGCTTCCTCATCATCTGACTGTTCTTTTGATGATCCACTTGTTATTGACCTGATTGAAACAACAGGTTTGTTTTGCATGGAAAGCAAGCAAGGAACCCCAACTGGTACTTTGACACCTTTATTTTGTGATTTATATGGATCATTTCCAGAAGGGCCAGATCCTACATAGGAAAAACAAAGACATATATAATCTTAATAATTCAGTTTGCGTTATCCATATCAGGAGAGAAAAAACTAAACCTCTAAAGCATTCTGAATTAACAAAATTGTAAACCTAGATTTTGCGTTCACCCTACTCATGCAACTTCTAATAGCCAATGATTTATTTTACATTCCACATTCACCCTCACTCTACTCAGTGAGCCTATACTATCATTAAATTTACCTTACAAATTGAATCTACTTCCTTCGATGGATCTTCCATGTTTTTTTCTTACATGCATGCATAAACTTCATAAACACATCCAATTGTATGTACGATTCAAACCTTTCAAAGTACCCTGAGATCCAACTTCAGAAGGATTAGATGCCTGTGACCCACAATCAGGAAAAGTGGCAGGATTTTGAGATTTGACCATAGACCCCTATTACCATGAGTGGAAGAAAACATTAGATACTGGTTCAATCTCCAGTGGGAAAATTGGTAACCGAAATGGGGGGATAGTAACCTTATATTTAAACTAGGTAAAATTTAATAGACCGTGCATAGTAAATTGAACTTTGAATAATAGGATTGAAATACAGAAAGCCAAAAATAAAATGTAAGGTAGGTGGAGTGCAGGCATCAAATAAATTAAAGTACTTGCATGTCACATCTTACGTTGGAGGGAAAAAGTACAGAAGTTCACTTTAACCAAGGAAAAAGAATAATGTACTTCAATATTTAAAAGCAAATGGAAAGAATGGAATTAATGCAAAATACCTAAATAGGAAAAAGAATGGAAAGATTTCCATAAGAACCATGGCTAGAAGGTTAAGTGAAGGAGTTACCAGAACCATCAAGTTTAACTAGGCCTCAATGAACAAAGTTTTCCATTTACAAAACTTGCATGCTATGATGCAAAGTTCAATTTAACCATCAGATGAAAGAGAGTCAAATCATCTAGCAATACCACAAATTGGCATTGACAAGAGCAAATCTATGCTGATAAATAAGTTGGATAAGGTTTGTGATATCAGAACCTCGTAACAGAATTGACATTACTATAAGCCAGACCTGAGCAAATGTTTAGTGCAATGAACAAGTTACTATAAATGACTTTAAAGGCATATCAGCAACTAATAGGTACTTGGCCTTCCATTAACTGGGTTTCAGCAAATATATATATATATATATATAGGGTTTATCATCTATCATTTAACATGACCACAAAAAGTTTCCTACACACACAACATTTTGTGGGGCCCACAGCAAAAAAAAAAAAAAAAACTTCGGCACGCAAAACGAATCTCTATAACATAACACAATCACTTTTCCTACAACATAATTCTTATAAAACCCATATATATATATATATATAATATATATATGTATGTAGGTATATTTATTGTGGAAGGATTTCCAGTACAGTAGTTAACAATCTAAGCTGCAGAAAATCAATGTCAGGCTATACCAGACAGATGTCAGGGATGCTGATGCATAGGTAACTTAGAGGATTAATTAGATCTAAGTGGACTCGTCGAGGATTTAAAATATTAAATACTGACTAAATTACACTTGATCAGAGCAACAATTATTGAAGTTAATTGCAATACATTGGCTGAATAAATCTGAGAAAAAAATGGATGAGTCAAGCTGAATTAGAAGCCTATTTATCATCTTTTATTTGTCATAAAGCTTAGTGGACACATAAGTGATGTTGTATGCATGAATCATGCCAGTTATGATGAATAATTCTACTAATCCTAAGCCCTGCAAAGATCTTGAGGACAAAATAAAGAAACTAAAATTTATAGCACTGTTCTAAGGTACGGGAAGGAACGTATGAGAATGTTAGATGAAGAATAAAAGGATAGGCAGAAACTAAAATTTAGTGTATGTAAGGATTGAAGAGTCAGGACGAAAAGTGAGGGGAAGAATAATCTTTAATATTATTCCTCTGCTTTTAAAAATTGTTAAAAAAGGGACATGTTTACTTAAAATGAAAAAGAATCTCCTCCCATTCCTTCCCTCCAAACTTATCCATCTAATCTCACCATCTAACTTTTCTACTGATCATACGGAATTCTGCTCCTACAATAAGAGCAGTGTCATCCATCTTCCTGTATACCTATTGGTCGAAAGAAGAAACGTTCATTTTTCAACTGAAATTTATAAGTGTTATGGATACTCTTTATCTTTAAGGGGAAAACCCCCAGTAACATTAGGTAATATATATCTCTGACTTCACTTGTGTCATAGTTGCATGTGAATATGTTGTCTATAAACTTTTTAACATTATACTTTTGGAGTTCCAACTTCCAAGGGCCAACTGAATTGTTGGCCTTGTTTTAGTAAAAACAAAAAACAAAAAATGTTTCAAAAAATGTTTTAGAAAACGTAAGAAATACCCGAGTCAAAGCGACGGCGGCGCAAGCGAGATTGAGCTTGGTCTTGAGTATAGCCTGGTAGTCATCGGAATCAACAGAAACGGGGAAGTTGTTTTTCGCGAGTTTGACATCAACGGTGGACGATGCAGAAGAAGCTTCTTGTAAGAAACGCTGGAATGCCCATTCGGAATCGCTCCGATTCATCTTTGAATTTGACTTGCACGATTCATCCGACCAAAAGTACTGTTCCGATATTTCATCCACTGACAACACTCTTTCCATTCTCTTTCTGCCCTCTGTCACTGCTAATCTGCTATGCTTCCCAATTCCTCGTCCTCTTCTTCATGTCATGCCCATCTCTCCAATCTATGTTGTTTTTTTATTTTAACCGAAGACACTTCACACTTGTTGTTCTCGTTCCTATTCATTGTATAGTAGTAATTATATAAAGGGTAAGTAACTAGCAAATTTTTAATACTAGGATACACTTGTTGCTGCACTGTTTTTTTTCTGCAGTAACATAAGAAGTAGTTTCTCCTTATATAAATAGAAATATGGTAATTTTTGACAAGCTTTATCTATAAATGTTAAATACCTTCACGTTTTTTATTATCGATTAATATTTGGGTACTGTCAATATTACATGGCAGCCTTATCCATTTTGGTAGTTGGTCTTCTATTTTACATGCTAATCCATATCCAGCAATATCATCCATCGCTTTCATTCATCAACTTGTTGGTACCCTCCATTTTTGGAATCAATCTATCCACATGCATTACGCTTTTTCATCGCGACTTATTCAAGTCATTATTTTAACATGTGTAAGATTGCATTAATTATGAAAAAAGAAAGAAAGATCTATAATAGATCATGTCTTCTTCAAAAAAAAAGAAAAAAAAAAGATCATGTCTTTGAACTTTTTTTTTTAAAAATTTGAATATTTCAGAAAAAAATGTTATATACCTTACATAACTAATAATTTTTTCATGTTTCAATATCGATAATGGTATGCCTACAACAATGTTGAAGCACGGCAGCTTATTTTTTATTTAGTTTTTTTTAATTTCTCTCTTTCTTTTTTTGATAACAATTTCTCTCTTTTCCGTTGCATAATTTAATGTAAACAATAAACATAATTAATTACCATCATCGTTGTAGAGTATACACTATACACTATACATAAAGTATGTTTAGAGTTTAGACCAATGGGCGAAAAACACACTCTGTGATGATGACCGGATAAATCAGATTGGATAAAAAATAAGGGGTTAATGTGTAAATTTAAAATTATATCCTTTAGTCTATAACCCGAGAAATATTATTCCCAAAAATATACTAAAATAAATGGTAAAAAAAAAAAAAAAACGAACCGCACCATTTGATTGGAAGAAGGGAAGAATTGATTTGCGTGAGATGCGGCTTCTTGAGTTGTCACTGAGTCAGTGTGGATAGACATGAGTCATGAGTGTCTTGTTGGGCTCCACCCTCTGCTCGTCCTAAAAGAACACTTGAACGTCACCTCAATTGCAATACCCTTCTTTTCAAATTTTTTATTTTATTTTACGAGTTTTATAAGAGTTATATCGTAAAAAAAATAATTGTGTAATATTATAGAGATTCGTTTTGTTTTGTGTGCCTTAATTTTTTTTTTTTTTATTTCAAAAAGTGCAGATCTCACAAAATATTGTATGTTAAAAAAAAAATTATATCACGTGACATGATAAATAAATGCAAACCCCTTATTTTATTTTATTTACGTGCTTAGTGAGGACTGAGGACGAAGTGGAAGATGATCATTCCATCTATTTTTGAGTAACCCTCGAATGTTTTAAATATTGATTTTTTTGATGAAATAAATTTTTTATTTTTTATTTAGGCCCATTTATATGCGTTAGTAATTTTTTTATGTCTTATTTATTTTAGAATTATTTTATAAAAATTAAAGCTATTTAAACTTTTTAAAAAATATAATTTTTACTTTTTACTTTTTTAAAAGCTAAATTTTATAGCTTTCAAAAAAATAAAATTTTGACATTTTTGTGATTTATGTTTTTTTAAAATTAAAAGATCTAAACAGATAATTTTTTTTAAAAAATAACTTTTGGCTAAAAAAAACCCATTCAAATGGGTCCTTAGTATTTTAAAATTTATTTTTTAATTAGTATCTTCATTTAAAATTTTAATTTGTTTACTACATTCCTAATTAATTCTTTAACGATTATAATTTATAATAAGAGAAAATCATTTCTCTTTCTGCAGTTGCTCGTTTTGCATGCTATTTTTTTTTTAAATAGTGGGTCCCGTGTTTTTTTTTTTTTTTTTGGAAATAACCCGTGTTTTTTTATTACTATGGTAGATTAACGGCAGAAAAATAAAACCCCTATAATAATGGTAATATAAAATTTTGCATAAAATAAACATTTAAGCAAAAAGTATAAATATTTACTACCTCAAATGTTTAAAAAGTATGTAATAATTTATTCTTGAAGTGATTATGATTATTTAATAAAAATATTAAATATTCCTTAACCAGTATTTTCGTAACATTGGTTGGCAAGACTCTTAGTTGGTCTTTATTAATCAATTTATTTTAAACATGTTTTTTAATTATATGAAATTATGATTCAATTTTGAAATTATAATTGACTACTATATAAATTTAATTTAAAAATATTTATAAACGTAGGATAAGACGAGACGAGAGAATTTTAATTATTATTATTTATTTTTTCATGACGAGTTGAAATCATAATCGTTTCAAAAGAATAGACGGGGACAACTCCAATCCAACGCTCTCCATTGCATGCATAAGGCAGATAAGATATTTGGACTCAGCCAATCCATCCATGGGTTAAGTTTGGATTTGATCGGGCCAGAAAGTTAGGCCAGTTATTTGGGCCCTTATTGTGGATCCACTTCTTAAGATTATTTGATTATATGGTGGAAGCAAAATGTTGGTTTCAGTATTTTGTCAAACCAAAACAAGGAGTTGTTCATTTGAGGCCCGGTCGTAATTCAAGTATGAACAAGTGGTCTCTTGCGAAGAAGGAGAACATCTTTCCCCTTAATTTGGAGGGCTGAGCTCAGTTGGTTAGTGTAAAGAACTTGAAATTCAAATCTTGAGAGACACACTTTGAGGCTAGTGAAGAAAGTTGTACCCTTCAATTCACAATAGGGATTAGTCTCATCCCGAAGGGACGGGGATACCCTTGGGTTTACTTAAAAAAAAAAAAAATCTTCATAAAAGTGAGAAGGAGCAAAAGGACTTCTTGATTATTGGTGATGGATGTTAATTGGCATTAACCACAATATGTCCATTTAGGTAAGTGTAAATGTGGGTTACGGAATCAAATATGCAAGCTCTGTATATCTTTCTGATAAGGAAATGAATAAAACAAAATTATATTATAAAAGAGAAAAGGTAGGAAGGTGCGTGTTACATCCTTCCAAATCCAGGCAAGATATTGATTTTCCTATTACATTATTTATATGTAGGGATGTGCATAGATTGATCGAATTGATTTTTTTTAAAAATCGAACCGAATTGATTTAAATGGTTCGATTCAGAAGGGGTTCGCTTCGGTTCAAAACTGGTTGGGCTCAGTGAAAAACGGTTCGGTTTGGAATCGGTTCGGAACGGGTTCGGGTCGATCCTCTTTTGAAAAAAAAAATTAAAATTTTTAAAAAATAAAGTTATAAAAATCAATTTGATTCGGTTTGAAAACAGTTCGGTTCGGTTCAAAATGGTTCGGTTCTTAAACTGGTTCTAAGAACCGGTTTGGTTCATAAACTGGTTCTAAAAACCGGTTCGGTTCATGAACTGGTTCTTTAAAAATCGGTTCGGTTCATAAACTGATTTTTAAAAATCGGTTATTTTAATGGACAGTTCGGTTCATGATTGGGTTCAGGTTTTTGGTTATTTTACACACCCTATTTGCATGTGAGTGAGTGGGCAAACAAACAAAGGAAATCAAGTTGTAAAGGATGATAACACGAACAGAAAGGTAACTCCAAAAAGCGAAAGGGGCGTGCAATTTATTCATTCCTCTCATTCCCACAAGTCCAAAAATGAGAAACTGGTTAATTGTCTTAATGAATAAATGGTCACGGAAGCACAATGCTTTCTCTCATGCTGCACATTCTCAGGGCCACGTGATAAATGAATGAATGCTGTTTGTGTTGATCAGATGAGAATTTATCAACTTAGTTCCCAACTAACGACCAAGACAGTGAGACACACCCACCTACTAGGAAGTAGGAACAACGCACATCACCGTATCCCCGTGTGCTTTAACTAAACTGCAACTGTCGACTCACTCCAAACTCCAAAGGTCCAAGCCATCAAGTTTCAGTACGGTTTATTTTGTTGCTTAATATTAAAAAAAAAAAAAAAAAAACTAATTATCTTTCTTATATGTGCATTGTAAGAGAATCAAATATTTATAATTATGAATTTTTTATTTAATGAAAAGATTATAGTTAATACATATTTATATTGTTTACAAAAAAATACATATTTAAATTCAATTATTTAAAAAACAAATTATTTCAAAGATGATATTTGATTAAAAATAATAAATATATTTATCATGAAACTTACGTTTAAAATTTGATAATTACATAATTTAGTCCTATTTTATTTATATGTAACATTTTTACTTGCATATTTTAACTTTTAATACATAATTTGAATGAAAAAATATCATTATATTTATTTTGATATTTTAGGACATGAGAAAGTATTTGTAAAAATATTTATTTTTTAAATTACAGAAAAAATTTCTAACTCTATCTTAATTATATTTCGATTACCTTTTCTTAAAGACATTATATAATAACCAAAATGTATAAGTTATTTTAACATTTTATAAAAATATTAACACACCTTATGCTAATATAAATAAAATAATTATTTATAATCAATTAAATACGCATAAATAAAATAAAAATAATAAAAATACAAACAAAAGACAAAGTGTGTTGTAGGATTTCAAATTACTTATTCCCTTTGCATTTGATACAAACACAAACAAAACTGTGGTCTGAAACTTAACTTGTAAGATAAAGATTGATTTTTATTTATATTTTTAAATTTAATAGATTTGATTTGAGAGTATTTTAATAATTTCTACCATTATAATAAAATTTCTTTCATTTTTTGAATTTAGAAAATTCCATACACTTTGACTGGTATAAGTTATTCTATTCTATTTATTATTATGGAAGGAATGAGAAAGGAAATGTAGTCAGCTATAACTGTAATGGATCCAATAGTTGCGAAGAAGTAATAAACGAGTGGCTGACCATCCCTTCACACTTTGACACTCTTTTCTATATATAACTCTATGCATTCCAATTCCAAACCCACTTGCATCCATTATCTTCATTCTTCACTCCTTCTCTTCTACAAAGTACAAACCATTTCACCATCCATTTCGAGGTACCTCTCTCAACTATCTTCTCTTCTTTTCTCTTCTTTTGTGTAGATCCTCCTCTCACTCCATTATGCTGCATGTACTCCTTTTCTTCTCTTCTTTAATTTTAACAATTTCCACTGATTTCGGTACCAATATGCTTGATTTCTTTTTTATCCCACATTTTGTAAATATTACATTTTTTTAAAAAATAAATAAATAAATTGGGAACTAGAGCAAGCGAGTTAATAATACTCATATGCTTCTCTTATTTTATTACATTTTTATAATCTTGTTTCTTTCCATGTGTCGTGTATGATTCTTCTAATTTTTGTCTGTTCGGTTCTTCCTTAAAAACAGCAACTTGCATGAGTTGCGGGTTTCATGATGAGAATGTTTTGTAACTGGTGATTGTGGTCATGTTTTGTGTTCAATTCTTGTGTTTTTTTTTTTTTTTCTTTTCTGACTAATTCATGTGGTGTGCAGAATGGGAAGTTCTGGAACAACAGACTATGGTGCATACACTTATCAAAACCTCGAGAGAGAACCTTACTGGCCATCAGAAAAGCTCAGAATTTCCATCACTGGTGCTGGCGGTTTTATTGCCTCACACATTGCTCGCCGTCTCAAGACAGAGGGGCATTACATTATTGCTTCTGACTGGAAGAAAAATGAACACATGAATGAAGAAATGTTCTGTCATGAGTTCCATCTTGTTGATCTCAGGGTCATGGATAACTGCCTAACAGTTACCAAGGGTGTTGATCATGTTTTCAATCTTGCTGCTGATATGGGTGGGATGGGTTTTATCCAGTCCAACCACTCTGTCATTATGTACAACAACACAATGATTAGCTTCAATATGATTGAGGCTGCCAGGATTAACGCTGTTAAGAGGTTTGCAATTTGAGTTTCTGTTTTTGGAGATCATTGCGCAAACATATATGTTTTGGTGTCAGTTTCAATTACACAATATACTTTATCCATGTCACAAACATTTTTGTTTTTGTTTTTTTAGGTTTTTTTATGCCTCCAGTGCTTGTATCTACCCTGAATTTAAGCAGTTGGAAACGAATGTGAGTTTGAAGGAATCTGATGCCTGGCCTGCTGAGGTTTGTTGGTGATCTTTCGATATGTTCGTTTCAGTTATTTTGGTTATTCATTTGCACAATAGTGTTAGGATGAACGTGTTTAACGCTATGACTTTTTCTAGCCACAAGATGCATATGGACTAGAGAAGCTTGCAACGGAAGAGTTATGCAAGCATTATAACAAGGATTTTGGAATTGAGTGCCGCATTGGGAGGTTCCATAACATATATGGCCCTTATGGGACATGGAAAGGTATGTTGTTAACTCAGTTGCTAATTTTGCAGTTTTGTCTTATCTAACTCCATGAATTAGTTAATATTTTTTATTTTGTATCCTTTTGGATTTAAAATGTTTGTCACTTTGTTGTTCGTCATACAGGTGGAAGGGAGAAGGCTCCTGCTGCTTTTTGTCGAAAGGCAATTACTTCGACAGATAGGTTTGAGATGTGGGGAGATGGATTACAAACACGATCCTTCACCTTCATTGATGAGTGTGTTGAAGGCGTACTTAGGTATTGACTTACTGATTTTGTTGCTGTTGCAGCTATATTAATGATTTATTTATTTCCGGGGTTTCTCATTTTCATGATTTGATGAACGATGAAAATGGAGCCAGTAGAGTGCATTTTCCTTTAATATTTTCTATTCACAAATAATTTCAAATGTGATTAATTGTAAAATCTCTATACATATTCTGAAATTGCTAATTCTGAAAATGTGTTAGTTGATCTTATATTTTTCAATTTCCAAATTTCGGAAGTAGGTTTCTTTGTGAAATCAAGTAATTTGAGGTTGGGGTTTTTATAAGGAGACATTACTGGCTCAATTAACATACACTGAACTAAATGGAATCAAGAGTGATTTCGGTGCCTTCACAAAACTGAGTATGTACCTAATTTGGTTGAATAGAGAAACACGGTATAGTGCTTGTTGCGTCAAGCATATTTTAGCTTCTTTCATGTCTATCTTGTGTTTAGATTGACTAAATCAGACTTCCGGGAGCCAGTAAATATTGGAAGTGATGAAATGGTCAGCATGAATGAGATGGCTGAGATTGTTCTTAGCTTTGAGAACAAGAGTATTCCAGTACACCACATTCCTGGTCCAGAGGGAGTTCGTGGCCGCAACTCAGACAATACACTAATTAAGGAGAAACTTGGGTGGGCTCCAACTATGAAATTGAAGGTATTAACGTTTTTTAATGGGGTGAAAGTTACCTCCCTGTTTGCACTTCATACAATTTATTTCAGGTTCTGACTTCAGATAAAGGTGCGCTTACCAGTCATAAGTCCATCGAGTGTTCAGTTTAATGTGGTTGTGTAAATGAATTCTCCTTTTCTTCTGTTTTAAAAACTTTTTCTTACCAATTTTGATCATTCATCTTCAAGAAAAGAGTAATGGAAAGAGATATACTCATCGACATAAGACATTCCTTGACATAATATTCCTATGCAGTTTCTTCTGTTTCTCCCCCCTGTTGCTTTTTGTTCTTGTCTGAATCAACAGGATTGTGTGTTTTACTCACAATATCTCCATTTTGATACTGTAGGATGGGCTGAGAATTACCTACTTTTGGATTAAAAAGCAGCTTGAGAAAGAGAAGGATCAAGGTATTGATGTATCAGTCTATGGATCATCCAAAGTGGTACAGACTCAAGCCCCAGTTCAACTAGGCTCACTTCGGGGAGCAGATGGCAAAGAATAAAGTGACTAATGCATAGTTGTAGTAATCACCTATATGTTTCAAGTGAAGGGTTTAGCTTTTATGTTGCTATTTGGTAGAGAACTTTGGTTAATAGTTGATTAGTTGTCAAGTTTATTTTTTGGAGTTTGTGCGTGTGTTCGAAAGGAAGTTGTGATGCTCCTATTTCTCGGGTATATTTTGTAGCTTGTTTGAGGCAATACTTGATGCTTCAGGTATTGTTACTGCATTAGAAATTTTAGATTATGTGTTTCAAATTTAAGCATTTTGATTAATAATCATAGAATTGTTTTTTTCCAATGAATTTCAATATAAGTGATTTCTATGGTATGTTATCGGTTGCTTTTTTCATTGAAAAGAAAGATGGACCTGAGCTTGGGCCATCGACAAATAAACGAGTACGGTCCAAAAAGTGCCATTTTATGATGGAAGCCAAAACTTTGATGGTGAGAGCTCACAGCAATTGGGCGAACGGCTATTGGTTTTATTTGTTTCGATTTGTCATTTGTCTTACTTTTTAAGTAAATTCCGAACTTGAGAATGCGATGAACAGAAACGAGATCCATATTTTGAAAGTTGTGGGACGTGGCTGATTATGAGGGGCGAAAGATATTGGGACTCCGCCTCGTGACGTGGAGGCGCAATGAGCATGTTTTTATGTCCTCTTATGAAAATGACTTGGCTAATGTCGATTGATCTGACAATTTACAGCTATTCCTTGTCTTTGCCATCAGTTTTTTTGTCATTAACGTGCAATCTTTTATTTCTGTACAGAAAAAGAGCGTTATGGTTGACATTACTCATCATGCCGGATGATAGTTATAGCGGCCCTTCCCTGCTGGTTGTTGAGTCCTACAATTGAATCCAGTTTTATGTATGGTACCATTTGGCGGTTAATCAGGTTTAGGGTGCAATTAAAATTCATAATTTAAAGTACCTCCACATAAGTAAATGCATCGCCTAGCATAAACACTACTAAATTTTGGCTGCCTCGTGGGAAAGGGGCATGCGAATTACAAATGCTACAGAAATGGAGATTGACAGAGGAGGAAGAAGAAAGGAGAGAGAAAGAATCCAAAGAGAGGGAGAATTTGCCAAACATTTCTCGTCTATTTTCATTACCCCTTCTCCGTAGGTATACGTATACCCTAGGTGATTACAAGATATTTCCTAATGAAAATAAAGCTGAAATATAGTTCAAAACATTAAGACAAAAAAGAAAAATTACTAAAGCAAGGGTAGGGCCTCATAACTATTTTAGGACTGCAACGGTGTGTAATGAAACGAAGTTACAAACATAAAATGCTAAAAATCTGAAATTTGGTCCATCAATTAATCTCCCTCAAGGAAAGTCCTGATATACAGGATTAATCTCAAGCTGCTCTGCAAATTTCTCTAGGATATCCTTCACAAGTTTTACCAGCTCCTCTTTATCTAATTCCACAGAGTTGTTTTCTTTTACAACATCAGCAAAAACATCATCATAAAGAAGAGCAACTGCCTCGTCAGCTTCAGATAGTGGTAAACCCAACTCCTTAGCGTTACTCTCGAGGAAGTGCCTTAATATTTCTGTACTGCCTAATCCATCCTTTGCCTTGGGTTTTTCCTGCAACACCTTCTCCACAATGCTGTTTAATTCCTCTTCATTGGCCAATAACTGCAGCATTGTCCATAACATGAATTGATAAATAAGAGTTGGCTGGACCGAAGGGATCGAGATGTCACAGAAATCATAACCAATAAATGAAGTTATTATATCGACTTCTAAGAAATTGTCTCAAACAATTGCTGGGAAGTGGAAATAGGTACACACTTTAATAGGTGCTTCATGTTTTTCAATTATGACTTATGAGGACTCATGTGACCTGGAGGTCGAAGGTTCAAATCATATAATCAATCTCTTACAAAATGTAAATTAAGGTTGCCTACTAGAGCCATGGGTCTGACCGCACATACCCGGAGTTGTATAGCACCAGGTTGCCCTTTTTAAAAAAATTATGATGACAATATATTACTTTGTTATAAACTAGAAAGATGACCGATCTTTAATTTTGCAAAATGAAGATCCCATGGTACAAATATATTAAAAAAATATCTTAGATTGAAACATATACTTTTTAAATAATCTATGAAAAATACCTGTCTTAGCTTAGAGCCATTTATGATTTGAATATTCTGGATGAAGACAACATTCTTTTTGGTAAGTTCCTCTTCTAGATCTTGTAGTACAGACTGGAGAAGCTGTGCAAATTGTGCTTGACCCAATTCTTCTTCTCCATCCGCTCCATGTTTTCTCAACAAATCATTTAGCTGAGGAAATTCTGCTCATTTATGCTAAAAAAGTCAGTTTTATCAGACCAAGAAAATTGACTCGTATGGAGCTGACAAATTAAATAAATTCTACATACCAAATTACAACACTGGTTGTTTTCAAATAATGTAAAGTATAGTTTATAAATTCAAAAGTGAAAGAACATAAGCCATAAATGTAATAAGTATAGAAAGATATATGTACTGTTAATCAAACCAAGTGCAACATTGGCAAATAAGACATTAACACGGATGCTTAACAATCAGCGCATGTAAATATGGTCACAGCCATGTTGCATAAGCATAATATATGGCTTATGAGGACGTGAAAGCCTCACTGATTTTGAAGGGGGAAAGTCCAGTGGCCAATTACAAATATCCTCAAGGCAATCATCAGCCATTTTTTTTATTTGAGGTCCTAGTTCAGCTGTACACTTTAGCAGTTGCCTTATCCACTTTGGCAACTCCATTAGGAAAATCATTCTGATACTACAAATCCACACCAAACAAATTATAACTTTGATTTTGATATGTCTAAATGACATCCATCTGAATTAAGATTATATTTTCACTCCACATAAGAGAACAAGGCCTAAAGTACATATTACACAATATGAGATAGGAACCAGTGGACTGTCACGCTTTACATCTTACCCTTGAGGGCCATAGAAACATTCATATGGAAAACCAAAATCAAGAGAAAAACAAACATATTCTTCAAACTGAAAAATAAAGCGAACCTGAGATAGGAGGAATGCCCATTTCAACTCCCATTTCGTCAAGAGCATTCTGAATTTCACTCTTTCTGATTTTCCCCTTATCATCAGCATCTAAGTCAGTGAATAGATTTTCTGCTAGCATGGCAAAATCATCCTCGTCCTCTAACAACAAACGGAGAGTACTTCCATCCAAGATTGATACGACAAGAGGATTATCTATAGACATACAATTTGAACGTAAGCATAATTTTTATTTTTATTTTCTTGACAAAATTTAAGAAATATTTATTTGCTCGTAAAAGCATAACATGCGTAGATAAATTATTCCATATGAAAACTTATCCACATGTTCTACTAAGTTACAATACTCCATATCAAAAAGCAGAGGATAACATTTGCAGTAATTTTTACTCCTAACTCCTTAGAAGGTAAAATCCAAGTCCACCAACTGAAATTATCCACATCATGTTTCTGTCAAATTTGATCAAACAGGATATTGTAGAATTTTCTGCTTTGTAGTATTCTTTTCTCCGCAATTGTCCTAGTTTTGTACTTTCGGCATTTTTTCAGCAAGCGGAAACTCAAAAGTATAATAGCAAAGGGGGAGATCTACGCCTTCACCGCTGAGAATTAGTAAAGAAAATAATAAAAGTTTTTGCAATTTGAATCGAAGAGAATAGTAAAATCAATCAGACTTATTTTAGATGAGCTTAAAAAGAGGGCAAATATTAGAGAGATGGATCGATATTCGAGAACGCATATCTTAATAATCATAATTGTGCGCTTAATCGATCATCTATAGTCTAGGGACAAACAGGACCATATATCTTCCCTGCATCTTGAGAGAAAACGGTAAATCTTGACAACTAATATTTTATTCATTGTTTGTTTTCAGTTTGATGAGGATGACCGCACATTTGCACACACAAATTTACCTATAATGCAACAGCAGAAGAAGATAATAAACCTTTGAGTTCATCGGCGATGGCAGTGATGTAGTCTTTGAGAATCTCCGAGGCCTTGTCCCTATCATACTCGGCGGACCGCAAAGCGTCGATGTCAGGAGAGCGGAGGCGCGTGATAGCAGAGTCTTTGAGAGTATCAGGTAATGGCAGACCAAAGAGGGAAGAAGAGGCTCGGGAATTCGCGAGGTCAAGTATGTGAGCTCCGGTAACCGGACCATCGGAATCGGGCAAAGACAGATCCACGCTTGTAAGGTTGGTTCCGTCCAGTACCTGCAGTGCTCCGTCTGACATTTTGGACTCACCTTACGACTTTGCTCGGAGGGAAGACTTTCAGTTTAACGCTGTTGCCACGCCTACGGCTCTGCGTCTTTGTCTGAAATTGGATCAAATGAAACAAACTATGCCCAATAAATAATTGGGGAAAAGTTTACTATTCTTATAATTTAAGGGAAATCATTTTCTTATCTAACATGAGAATATGAGATAGTTTTATCATGTCATGAGACATTGAAAATTATGCTGTTCTTTTTATTTTATTTTCTTTTTTAATAAATGGTGGATCTCATTATTTATTGTATTTACGACATAAAAGATGATATCTCATGTAACATGAGAAAAGAAAAACCTTTAATTTAATTACTATTAGCTTATGTTAATCTAACTGTTATAATTAATTGAGAATTATTAAATTGTTTTTATTAATTAATTATGAAATTTTAAAAAATTATAATTATTAAATTAATGCAAATCAACAATAATAATTAAATTAATTGTAAAGATAATAAAATTTTATGATGATAAGTATATTCTCCCTTAAATAATTTGGCCTTTTTCTACTCAACAATATTTAAAGATTCATTATATATTTTAAGCAAAGTGTGGATATTCTAACTATACAAAATTCTTACTACTAATTTACTATCCACCACATCATCATTGGATCAAAGAGAAAGAATGTTAAAAAGTTTTTGAAGAGAGAGAAAATATTAATCTAATGGTGATTAGATAGGTAGTAAGTTGGTACTGAAAAATTTTAGTAGTGAAAATATCCCTCCTCATATTTTAATACTTCGTATGATATACAAGGAATTTTCGTTCTCTGACTTAATATTTCAGGTTAAGTTTTTTATTTTATATCTTAATCTAATATTTTTCCCTTTAACCCTTAAAAGTTTTATTTTTATGCTTCAAGTTAATATTTCATCCCTATACTCAAGAATTTATTTTCTTTTTTTAAATATCTTTATCCTCGAGATTTAACTCTAATAAAATTAATAAATTATACTCACCTACTATAAATTGTTTGAATTCAATATGTAAGTGTATATTTTATTTGAGCTTTACTTCTCTCGTATAATAAGAAAAAAATTATTTTATATTTTGAGACAAATAAAGTGGGATTTATTAATTTTTAGAAAGAAAAAAATTATTTTTTATATAAATATAATATAAAAGATGAATATGAGAGTAGAATTTTTCATCTTATTTCACTTTTACAATGTCTATCAAAATCTTTGCTGACTTGATTGACCATTAAAATCTTTGTAAGTATCCTTAATTCCTTGCCGTAAACTACTATACTTGTCCTCAATAGTCAATAGTCAATAGTCAATCCTCGTGATAGTTTGCTTAATACGATGGGTTTCCCTTTTTCAACGTTACTTAAAGTAATATTGTTCACAGTTTTCTCAATATTATTTTATAGATTTTAATACTTTTTATAATGTTGTGGATTCTATTTTTTTTTTTTAAATGTCAGAATCCATACGTGGATCATAATATAAAATATATTTGTCGCAAAAATTTTCATCGCAGAAATGACGAATCCTATTTTATATTACGGATTCCCGTTCACCAAGTGATTTTGTGTCGGGTGTATCAAGTGAATGCTAATAGGACAACGCAGGTTCCTGTAGTTTTTAATGAAAGTAGTGACAAAAAATTGTGTTTACCCAATTACGTGGGTTCTTTCTGAATCAGCTCATGAAAAATACCTATGAAATCTGAATTAAGAAATTAAAAATACATTTGCAATAGGTTGTCATAATTATATTGCTCAATTTTTCTCGTATTATAAAGGAATTATAACCCACCCTGGAGGTATTTTGTTAGGTAGGTCTATCCCAAAATAATGTAATAAGAAGTAATGGTGTTATCCAAAAAAAAAAAAATGTAATAAGAAGTAATGGTATTAGATAAATAGTTAATTTGCATTATTACCTACTACTTGTTAAATTAATTAGATAATTGAATCAATTAATTTGTGGTTAACTATTTAAATAATCAACTAGTAAAATAAATTTTTAATTTTATTAAAAATGAATGCACCCCACTCCTTGGGATGGAGCGGGTGGTGTGATCCCGTGTTATCAGTTGTTGCAACTTAGAACTCTCAGTTTTTCTTATATACAGGAAAAAATCACTCTTAGGCAAGATAAGAGTAGTTTTATCTTCTACATACTTATCGAAAACTGTGACACTTTTTTTTTTCTTTAAATGACGGACCCCACCATATGTATCTCTACAACATGAGAGAAGATCTCTTATGTAACATAAGATTAAATGAACCCATATTTTTATTGGATATAAAAGAACAAAAAAAAAATTTATGAAGGATATCTTTATTTTAGCTACTATAGCATCTTGAAGAGAATATAGACAAATATCTCACACTCTTGAATTCCTTCCGTTACCCAACGGAATATTCAAGAAACTCGTTGCCCTTTGTAGATCCCATAACTGCTCCAACATATATTCAAACAAGACATCAGTTAACATAATATTTTTGTTGACTAATATAATTACTCATACCATTTGAAGCTCGCCCAATGACCTTGACTCATAAATGGATGAGAAATCTTGAGTATCATAAATTTTATTGCGCTTCTGGTTCTGAAATTTTGCAGCCTCATCACACAAGGCGAAAGCCTCCTCTCCATGCATTGCCTTGTCACCCATTTGCAATGCATCGGTATCAAGCCTAAGTGGTACTATGACCCCCACAAGCAAGCAAATTAAGCTCGTCGTAACAAAGTTGAAGCATATCACGAAAACAATGGCCCCAACTTGGATCCCCATCTGTCTCAAACCCGCTCGAGTTGCACCATTCTGGAGGCCATAGAGGAGTCCTATCTCCTATGTATTTTTCCCAATCGGGCACCACGTAGAAGAGACGGCACAGTTTAGGCACCGCAAAGAGGCCGGTGAGGATGCCGCCGAGAGCACCGGCGACGGCGTGGGTGTGAAACACCGCCATGGGGTCCTCGATTTGCTTTAAGAAAGGGACCTTGTTGTGGAGTATCATCATTGTGTACCACGGAACACTTCCTGAGATCAAACCCATCAAGATGGCTGCCCACCCCTGCACAACTCCTATTCAGTTCACAAATGTTACTTGCATGTCATATTTGATTGATTAATTAATGGGTATATATTAAGGATTTTATATTTTTCTTGTGAGAAGAAATTTTTTTATATACCTTTTAATTTTCGTGCTAATACGAGTATTACAAATAATTTTTTTTAATATACAGATCTCTCAGATAACATTAATTTTTAGGGCTTTATTTTTCTTATGTTGCATAAGACAAGTTGTCTCATGCAACACACAAAAAGTTAATGGGACCCACTAAAAAAGAAGAGAGAGAAAATAAAAAAGCAGGTCCCACCCACTTTTTGTGTGTTGCATGAGACAACTTGACTCATGCAACATAAGAAAAATAAAATCCTAATTTTTATGACATAAGAAAAGACTTATATTTCATGTAACGTAAAAAGAATAAAACACATATATTATATAGATGAAATGTTTGTTATATTTTATATTTTATGGTACATAAAGTGTATTGTTGAATGAGATGTACCTGCGGCAGGTGTGATGCAAACGAGGCCAGTGATCATTCCCTGTATGGCGCCAAACACGGTGGGCTTGCCCAAGTAGAAAGTATCGAGTAGGACCCAGACGATGATGCTAGTGGCAGCACACACGTGTGTGTTAAGCACGGCCAGAGATGCCAGCGTGTTCGCCACGAACGGACCTCCACCGTTGAACCCGCTCCAACCCATCCAAAGCAGGCCTGCGCCTGCAAGTGCCACAACCATATTGTTTGATGGAAAAGTTTCTATGTCCTTTTCTGATCGTGGACCCACCTTTATATTCAAACGCCATCACATTAATTTTACCTTGAGATTTCGTAAGTAGTCATAATAACAGATCGAAGTAAAGAAACTAAGAAAAATAAATAACTATGGAAATGGAATGAATACCCAATAAGCTGCGGTAAAACCAGCAACTCCAGCAGAGAGATGAATAACATATCCACCAGAAAATTAAGTCAATAACCCCAAGCTTTGCCAACCAGCCTTGGGGGCTCCAAATGCTGAAAACAGTGACAGTGTATGAAAAAGTAACCCAAAGTGGCACAAATAGCATCCAAGCACGAATGTTCATCCTCCCCAATAAAGCACCAGCTATCAAGATCAATGTAATCCCCGCAAACACGCCCTGGAAAAAGACCATGGTAGCTGTAGGAAAGAGTCCCGAGAATGCTTTCCCTAAAAGGAACTTGTCCTCTAATGCCACACCAGGTTTTCCCAAAAAGAAAACCATTTTGTCGCCAAATGACATGCGGAAACCCCAGGCAACCCAGCAAAGAAGAACGGCCGCGAAGGCATAGAAGGCCATGAAGGCTGAGTTAATGGCCCATGTCTTCTTCACAAGGCTTCCATAAAGGATGACCAGTCCCGGAATGCTTTGGAGCCCCACCACCGTCGCCGCCGTCAGCTGCCATGCGTTGTCCCCCTTGTTCATCCACTCCGGGCTCGCCTCATCCGGCAACAGGTTCGAAGGAAGCTCCATCCTCAGTACTCGTATATGATCTTACTTTAATTTATGTCTACTTGTTGCATGAGTGTGCAGGTGCAGGTGCAGGTGGTACCTCTGTTTCAGTAAAGAAATTGGTTAATTAATTGGCTTCAACATGAGGTGCAGGTGCTCAAGGCCAAGGGTTTCTAACACTCGAGCTATTTTCAGGTTTCATCACATCAAGAAGTGAGAATTTAAGAGGCTTCAGAGAGATGCGTTAGATAATCAATCGTTTTGGGGTGTGCTTTTGGCATATTACATGCAACTTGTCGTTTCTATATTTTCTTGTATGAGCCGGTTTCGTTGGCACACAGTCTGAATTTTTCTTCCTCTGTTGAGCTTCATCGTACGTATATCATGGTATAAATACGATGGAGTATTTTAATCGGGTACCTTACCTTGGTACTTCGTTATGTTATATGACGTGACAAATCAGTCATACATAATTATACTGTAAAGCGCATTTGACAAGTGTTTACATGAACTCTGTTAACTAAACGCTCCATTTCATTT